ACAGACATATGGACTGCTACCACTTTCCTTGAGAACGGTTCAATTAACGGCATTTAGAGAAATTTTTCATATAAGTGTTTCAGGAATCATATTCTGGTAAAATTGTGGAAAACAATAGGGTATTTTCATTGCATCGGTTACGAGTTTCGCACCTCCCTGTATATCATGTTGTCCATACCTCTGAATGATTTGTAAAACCAGGTATACCGAATGTCGTGATTCTAAGAACGTTTAAAGGGCTGTAGCGCCGCCCGCATTTTTGGACACAATAGTGATAAGAAAATTTTTTTCTTATTTTCATATGGGAACGTCATTCTGAGACACCAGTCTCAGGATCGTTGATTAAAAGTATCAAATAACACCTACATGCACTGAGAGTGAATCATTTGACTCACAGATATTCACTATGCCATTATTTTAGTTAACAAACTGAAACGAAATGGTAGTTTCAACTGTAGAGGCCAACTGCAGTAGATAACACATATCTACACTGGAAGTATAGGTATAAAACATCTCTACCAATGATGACTCAAGACGATATAAAATATTGTTCCCTCTCACAACTTTGAAATTCACATTGCAGCATCACAAGGCGAATAGAATAATTTTGTATTATATATGAACCATTTGGAATCGAGTATAATGTAATTTATCTACGATTCCTCCTGAATATATAATGATGCTATGAAGTTCTCACTTTCCAGGAAATTTGTGAAAAAATCTATCCACCTCATTCAACGAACTGAAGATTGTAATGAAAGTGTGATTCATTGTTTCCGCACCCCAGCATGATACACTGATAAGCTTTTCTGAGTGTAAGCAGCACCAACAGAAAATATCTTCCACACTATCCAGAACACGAACAAACAAACACAAACGTCCGAAAATAATTTCCACCACTCGTGAAAATTGTCCCCCAAAAATTGCTGCTCAAGTTTTGACAAATAAAGTGTACGTCTGCCAGTTCTGATCTCATTCGAAATTGCTGAAGGGTTGAGAATAATGTCTGAAGATGTATGTTGATTAACTGATCTCGCAGGCTCATCAGGAGTAGTACTTGGCATATTTTCTTCCAGTGGAATGTCTACAACCGCCTCGAAAAATTCGCTGTCTTCAGTCTTCAATGAACAAAAAGCATCATCATCAGATGTATCCTCATGGTCGCGAGACACGCTCGGTAGGTAAACAGTTTTTTCAACTGTTTTATCTGGTTCATCAACTTTTTCGGATATAATTTGCACTACTGTCAACTCTTGTGATGGTAATTCCATCGCATTGGATTTCTTATCACTCGATACTATAACCTGAGCGCAGCAGTTATAAAATGACGTACTTATGAAATGGCCGAAAGACATAAATATCACAGGACCGCACTAGCCGTTTTTGCGATCACCTTTTCGATGACCTACCTACTCGAATTTATATCATTCATGCTACACGGGCCAATGGTAAAGCAATTCTTCATCCTATCCGGCTTATCACTCATAAAAATGGTATTTAGTGAATATTTGCTGACTAGTTTTGGATGCAACCCATTTGGAGTGCTGTAAATAGAACGATTTTCTCCTTGATGGAGGTTTCCGCAATTGAATTATAGCTCATTCCTTCTCTCCAAAAATGTTCTATAAACGAACTAACTCATCAAATGAACCAAAGATCGATATAATAATTCTAAACTTAGAATAAAATAATGAAAATAATAATTATAATAATAATAATAATCTTATTATAATAATAATGTTATAGCGAAATATAATATATAGTGGGGTTATCACAATTGAATTGAAAGTAGATTAATCATTTTCATATTTAATGAAACATTGAAAAAGTTTCCTTTGATTTCCAATTGGAGCAAAATCGATTATATGATCAAAATGGTTTTTTTGTGAAAATTAATTACCCATACTTAGTTTTGATATAGACTAGCTATCCTTGTCCGACTCATGTTAATATACTGATTCAGTTTTTCATAGGCTTCAGTGTGACAATGTTCTGCTAGGAAAAGCTGACGTCATAGGAACATTTGATCAAAAATATTTTTGTGACGCAAAAAAACTTTGACGTTTGACGGGTTAAAAAATGTCACTCTTCATAAATAAGTTTTTTTTTCCACGAGAAAAATGTGAGTACTTTTTTCCGGGACATACATATATATAAACTGTTGATGGCTTTTGTTGTGCTAGTAGTGATCATTGCGAATACCTTCATCAATGTTCAAACAAATGATTTAGTTTCATTAGTGTAGTTCTTCTTTCATTTCTCGTTCAATTGATCTGAATGTAATCATATTTTTCATTAGCAGCAACTGAGAAGGCCTAAATAGATTCTTTCATTTTATTCTGGAAATGAATTACCGTTCAATACTTCCTCCGACTATAGAACCCGCTTTGAATTTTTTTCCAAGCCCTGTATTTTTGTTCATCTCTTGGAACGCACGAAGGGAAATTCCTATAATTCTCGTGAAACATCGCACGTACCCAGGGAGTACTGAAAGAGGAAGTAGGTGTTGGAATTATTATTATAAGTTCTTGAGAATACTTCCATTGGCAGAAAATTCCAGTTCCGCAGATCTGAACATCAATTCATCGTAAAGCTAAACAAAACCTATCCGTATGGGTAGATCTTAGTTCCATTTTAGAATCAGTTATTCACTAAGTCCGTCACTGATTACCGATTATCCATTTGTTTATCGAATAGGATTGGCATGGTGGTTCAATTTTCAAGTATAATAATGTCTACGTGCTGATGGATCAAACTGCTATCCTCATCAAAACTGCAGACACATTAAGATTAATAAATCTCATAATATTCTCAGCGGTAATCTGAAACTCTATATCTTTGAAAAATGCTTGGTACAACTTGATCCATTTATTTTAAAATTTCATATCGTTTGAAATTCGGTTACTCACCTAAAATTCATCGGTATATATATTCATCCAGTGTTTTATATATAATTCAAAATGTCATAACTTCCTCCTCTCTACTGTTACTCTTATTTCTTGGAGAAGAAATTACTATCCAACCTGAACACTGAGTAGCTATATATACATACACTCACCCGCAAAAAAACCGACCAGCAAAAAATTAGCTGAATTGATGATCGCCTTGTAACTTTTTTAATTCTTGTCCGATGCTGGTGAAATACTAACCCAATCGTTTAATGTTTCCAAATGGTAAATTGAATTTTAGTTTCGAAAAAACAAAACTGATGGCTGCATCAATATACATGAAGAAACAAAAGTTATATACTATCTCACGCTCAACTCCTCAACGCCCTGTAGCAAAAGTGCGTGATTGAATTTAGCTTTATCATGATTTGAATTGAAGTGTGACTCTTCCTTCACAGCAGTTCCTGATTCACGTCAACAAGTGTTCTGAGGAAGTATGAATTTTTCAAATTTGCAGAAGATAGGTATACATAAACTATAAATCAGCAACTCTAAAAAACATCTGAAAATTGTATATCACCAGTTTCAGTTCGTTTTTTATTACTCACCAGCAAAGAGAAACCTTAGAACTGAAAACAAACGAAAATCAGACCTCCTAGATGTAGTCAATCACGAGCTAGAATTATAGCATTCAACCGACACAGCATCGATTTGATCAAATTTCTCAAGAAGTCTCGAGAAATTGCCTAAAATTTTCTTTAAAGGGCGATTCGCAGCTGGTGAAGAGTCTCTGACCAGGCCGGACGAAGACGAATGAGCACTTTTATATTTCCTTGAAAAGAAGATATTGACGTGATTAAAGAACCTTTGTAACAATAAGGGACGAAAAGGGATCACACTTGAAATGACTTAAATCCAGAACTTGATGAAGCTGAAGGTTGGAGAATGGTTCTGAATAATTCAAAATACTTGTATATCCTCTTAAAAAGAAGATATTGACGTAAATAAAGAACCATTGTGTTAAGAAGAGATCAAACTCTGAAACATTTCATCACACTTAACACTCCGAAACATTTCACCAGAATCAGTGAAGAATTGAAAAAGCTGCAGGGCGATCAATTTGGCAAAAATTTTTTCTGGTCGTTTCTTGCCATAGTGAGTGGAGTGGAGGAATTTGTATCTTTCATTGATTTGTTGGTATCCTACTTGATTATACATATTTGACAGCTGATGAGTGGTTCAAAATATTGTGGAGTAGATAGTTCAATTATATTGAAAGGATAATCTTCTAGAGCCTGCGCATCAATATCAAACCACCAAAACAATAATATCAAACATTCAGTATCCAGTTAATAGTCCATGAATGATGAAGGTATTATCTGATATAGCTTCATCTCATCAGAGTGCGTGTAATAGTGAGAGTATTATAGTTATCGAAGTTTGCCATAGTGCTGCGTTCATAGACTTTTGAAGTCTATAAATCAAGGACTATAATATAATTGCATAAATTCAAGGTGTCACATTAGTCTGTACCACATTCCTACCACTTCCTCGCAACTTCATCAGAGCCTGCTCAGCCTCCTCGGTCTTATCAGTCTGTATCAAGTAGTAAGGGCTTTCTGGCACGAAGAATAGGAACAATTCGACGAATGCTGTGGGAGGCACAAGGAGAACATTCTGACGGTAAGGTAAGGGTCAAAGACGTAGGAAAACAGCAGCCCGGTTACAATGAGGAGCTGCATGAAGGCACCCAAATACCCTCTGCCTTCATCGTCAGCAATTTTCCCCTCGTACATGGGTATGGACGTGAAGACTATCCCAACGCGCAAAACGCGAAGGAATCTCGACAGAAAAAATTAGTACACGTTGGTTGCCATGATGTTGAGGATGTAGGCTAGGATGAATGGAGTGGCGCCGATGAGCAGGGTCTGCTTCCTGCCGATGGTGTCAGCCATGTAACTTCCTGCGAAGGGTCCTTTCGCGGCTGCTAGGGGTAGGAAGGGCAACCAAAGATCCTCTGACTCCATCGTCATCAATTTCTCCCACGTACATGGGTATGGACGTGAAGACTATCCCAACGCGCAAACCGCGAAGGAATGTCGAAAGCAAAAATTAGTACACGTTGGTTGCTATGATATTGAGGATGTAGGCTAGGATGAATGAAGTGGCGCCGATGAGCAGGGTCTTCTTCCTGCCGATGGTGTCAGCCATGTAATCTCCTGCGGAGGGTCCTATCGCGGCTGCTAGGGGTAGGAAGGCGTCGATCCTGCCTTCTTCGGAGGATGTCAGGATGCGGTCGAGAGGGTTGTTGTCAAGGGCTTCCAGCTTTGGCATTCCGGCAAGAATGAAATTCATAGTCCTCATGGAAACCAGGAATTCAAATGATTGTAACATGAAATTTATTGGGCTATTACTTCGAAGCATTGGCACAAGATTTGAAGAACGTATTGCTCTCTCCAGATATAATCGCTTTTATGAATCAAGTTTGTATCATGAGACTGGTCATCCTATGAGTTCAGATAATTCATGACTTCTAAATCATGTAAGAATAATGTTTAGATATACTGGGTGAAACAGGATATCTTGCCATCCCTGTAACTTCTGCATTCGTAGACGGATTTTTCTGAAATTTGGTTAAATTATATAAGAATTTGATCACATTCCGGTTTTTCTAGAAATGCCAGCAACTCTGTTTTTTCAAATACAACACCCTGAACATATTCAAGTTCAACAGGTCAAAACGAGTGCAATCTTAATGTCAAATGTCATTCTTTTGAATAATTTTGACAAGGAAATTCATGAACTAGTTGTTGCTTTTTGAAGGACAATTCGTTACTGCAACGAAATTAAAAAAATATATGTCATTTTTTCCCTTGATGTATATTCTAGAGAGATATGTAGGCCCATAGGGTTACCATTGGAGAAACATTGATCTTTGATAGAAATGTGATATTGATAATGATGATAATAATAAATTTACCTTATTGTCCGAAGATCAAAATCGAATAAATTTAAAAAATTTAAACAGTTGAAAAGCAAGCTTTTGAAAAATCATAATAAATATCTGGTCAATTACATATACCTACTTGTTGATATAGGTACACAGAACACACAATAAAACGATCAATCAACCACCAGATTATCGTCATAAAATTCCTGCGAACAATAGAAGGATCTACTACTTAGTAATCTTTCAAATTTATTTCTGAAGCACCCAATATCTGATTGGATTCTTCAGTTTCGATTGTCAGATGATTGAACATCTCAATGCCGTTATGGATGAACGAATCCTTGATTATAAGGAGGAGGAAGGTAATGGTAACTTCAAATTCTTCCTTGAACTTTGTCCTGTGGAATATTGAGTAGAACTAATTCATTCAATGCTGAATGTATTCATCGATATTATCAGGGAAAAATATGTTCCTCTTTGATTATACATATTTGACAGCTGATGAGTGGTTCAATGGCTCCCGTTCGTTTTGGTCCCTTGCTAAAGCGGTCGGAAGAAATTTCACTAATAGTTCATTTCCACCACTGTCCAAATCCGACGGCACATTAACAACAACATCGCAGGAGAAAGCAAATATTTTTGCAGAGATGTTCGCAGCAAACTCTACTTTAGATTCCCAAGGAAAACTGCCGCCAGACATTCCACCCGTTGAGAGTCGAATGCCCGAAATCGTCTTCCGCCAACGCACTATCAGACGAATTTTGCTTGGTCTCAAGACGAATAAGGCTAACGGTCCTGATGGAATTCCACCCATTATCCTCAAGAAATGTGCACCAGAATTAACACCGATTCTCTGCAAGTTGTTTACCATCTCGTAGAGGTCGGGTATTTTTCCATCATGCTGGAAGACAGCTAGAGTCCAACCAATCCCCAAAAAAGGGAACAAGAACCTGCCCAACAACTACAGGCCCATTGCCCTGTTATCAGTAATCTCCAAAGTGATGGAGAAAGCCATCAATATTGAGCTTATCAAATATCTAGAGAGCTCAGGAATCATCAATGATAGGCAATACGGCTTTCGCCACCGAAGATCTACTGGAGATCTACTTGCCTACGTCACCCATTTATGGCAATCTTCAATAGAAAAACACGGGGAATCTCTAGCTGTCGCGTTGGACATATCGAAAGCATTCGACCGTGTTTGGCACGAAGGACTCCTCCACAAACTACCATCATACGGCTTACCACCTCAGCTATGCCATCTCTTATCGAGTTTTCTTTCAGGCAGATCGCTTCACGTGGTGGTGGACGGTGTATCGTCTGATACCATTGGCATCAATTCCGGCGTTCCACAAGGATCAATTTTGTCACCAACATTATTCCTGCTTCATATCAATGATCTGTTGGGAGTAACAACTTGCCCCATCCACAGCTTTGCAGATGATAGTACCCTCCATACTGCGTTCTCTTCCAGAATTCCCATTTCTTCCCAGGAAACTAAGAACTCACGGCGCAGGCAGGTCAATGCTGTCAATGAAGATCTTGCTGAAATCACAGCCTGGGGAACAAACAACCTAGTTGAATTCAACGCCACCAAAACTCAAGCCTGCATTTTCTCTAGAAAGGCGGAACTCAGTATGCCTGATATTGTAATGTCTGGCTCCACCATCCCCACCAAGCCCACCATATCTATGCTCGGTATTTCCATCAGCAACACTCTTTCATGGGATAATCATGTCAGATCCATCGCAAAAGCTGCTTCACAAAAACTCGGATTCTTGTTCCGTGCGAAAGGCTACTTCACACCTCAGCAGCTTCTCATGATCTACAAAGCGCAGATACGGCCTGTTCTAGAATACTGTTCCCACATATGGGGTTCAGCACCAAAACATACGCTGATGCTCTTAGATTCCATCCAGAGAAGAGCCATTCGCCTGGTGGGTGACGCCACACTCACTCACTCTTTGACATCATTGGAACACCGTAGAAAGGTCGGCGACCTTTCACTTTTCTATCGATACTTCCACGGGAAATGTTCTTTGGAAATCTCTGCTATCATCCCTTCACTACCCAGCAAACATTGAACTAGCGGGTGAAGTCCGGCCTAGTGCAGGCTAGTCTGGGAAAGTGACGATGCCGGGGTATTGGTAATGGGCCAATGATTTTCCTATGCCAAGTAACCATCAGTTAAAAATACGGTGATGGCCTTGTGATGGTAAGATGTCTGGAACTAATTGGATACTTATGAGATCTCGCCCTTTGCTGGCCAATTTCGTGTTCGCTACTCGTCCCCCTGGTGGAAGTTCTGGGAACGTCAACATCAACAATCAGCTGATCAATATTAAATGTGACTAAGATGGCTGACTCTCGTGAGTGGTGATCGCGTACTAGTTTGTTTATTTCGATCATTTTCGATGAATTATTGTGCTCCTCTCTTTCCCTGGTGGTTATTTATGATGGCAGGAGTATTCTCAATTGATAATGATAGAAGACAGATGACAGATTCTCCAATTATGATAATATTGAGTAAGTATCAATCTACCTACATAGTGTTTCGAATTGAATTATTGAATGCATGTGTTTGCATGGTCGTATCTCGTAACCTCATATAACTAATGATCATAATAATTTGAGTGGACTGTACTTCTCCAAAAACAACTATCATTTTTGACTCGTTTGTTGCTATCAAAAGCAATCTTAGGTCATGTGAACCATATATAAACAAATGATGCATTTTATATTTCAGAAGTACCTCACAACGAAAAATCGACTTTGAAGGAATGCTACCCAATAAGATGTGGATACCACATACCAACCAGTAAGCAGTCACTACGAGAAGTTTCATCGTTGAAGAACAGAGAGGTTAAGAAGATATTATTGTGTTATTCATAAAATTGTTTTCTCGAAATCTGGTATGATGAGAGGGTTATATTGTGAAATAAAAAGGTACGAGAACTTTCAGATCCATTGGACCCCTAAAACCCCTACCCCTCCCCTACCTCGATAGTATGTAACTAATGTCGCTAATTGGCCATTACAGTCCCATCATTTATGTATATGCTGGGCTTGCTATGGGAAACTCAATGTGTCGATTATGTTGTACTGGCCTTTTGCCGGGGAACTGAACATGTTTGCTGGGAACCCAGCACTGGGACCAGCTGCCGGCCGCAGTGTACTGATATATAGAGTCCCGCATATGGGACCATTCATTGGGCCGCTGATGTCAGGTATGGGAAAAATATATTAGGCCATTGATGCCCCATATCAAAATGTTTGCTGGGTAGCAATACCAATCAGACGAACTAGACAAGCCCAGTCAGCACATCCTTTCGTTGTCAACCTCGAAAGATGTCGAACAGCACTTTATCAAGACTCCTTCATCCATAGAACGGCTAGGCTCTGGAATTCATTGCCTGTGGAAGTATTCCCAACAACATATAATCTCCAAAAGTTCAAAAAAAATTCCAATACCTACCTCCTGTCCCTATCCTCCCTAGGAACGCACGATGTTCTTTGAACATTATAGGGATTCCCTTTCGTGCGCTCCAAGCGATAAAAAAAAAAAAATGTACGCCTTATTTGGATAAACCTGACCAGATCTCATTTATCCACGATGTAAAATGAAAAAACAATTTTGATTCAATTTTTTTTCGAAGAAATTGCATTCGACATGAAGATTGTAATTATCGTTTCCACTTGTTGAATATGTGAAAATAAACAGGGTGTTCCATTTGAAATAACGAAATTGCTGGTTCCTGAAAAACCGGAAGTCCGTCATATTAATTGGAATATAATGTGATCAAATTCGAGATTTTATTGTACCAAATTACAGAAAATTCCGTTTATATACGAATGCAAAAGCTACAAGAGTGACCCGAAACCCTGTGTCACCCAGTATTTTGTATTCGTTCAGTGCATTTCCATTTTATCAGTTCAGCATTGCGGTATCGAAAGAACTGAGTCTGTATATATTCTATATTTTAGACGAAGTCATTCTTAGAGTGATAATTTATCACGTTCTTAAATGAAAAGAATATTATTGCCCCGGTTCAATTCACACCAACCATTTGTTCCTGAAATGCAGCTTCTGCAAATCCTCATTCTTTTGTGCCCTATACTCTCCTTACACCATCATAAATAAACTTCATCGTCCAGCACGTTGACTAATTTCTTGCGGAGCGACAAGAAATTGCATTGAGTCGTTGGCAAGCAGGCGAACAGTCCAACAATGAAATATGCTAGATGCATTGTTGATTCATGAGACGCAGGTATACAGAAATGCAGAAGTCCTCCCATGGAATGATTTCCACAAAACAATGAATGTATTGAGAGGAAAACAATGAGAAAGGTCCCCACCTCCCTGGATAA